TATTATATTATTCTGTTATCATTAACTCACTTCTCCATCTAATTCCAAAACAAGTCGGAGTACACCGTGAGCAGCTGGATGTTGGGGCCCAAAATTAATAGTAACATTTTTCACCTCCTTTTCAACTGGAGCTTTCTCATTATGCCAACCCGGCAGAGCCCAATGTTTGGTTGTTTCATCTGGATACATTACTGGACCTTTAAACTGTTCAAAGTATTCTGCGTCCGGGTACCATTTTGCGTTGGTTTGAGAACTGTAATTTTTTATGAAATCATTAACCGAGTATTAAATGTTATAAGTAATACAATCAAAATATTAGCATTAATTTGTCCAAGAAAATGTATTCAGGTTTGCGTTTCAAAAAAGATAATTTTCTGCTAGAATCGTCCCAAAAATCGAATATTACAACAGACTTGCAATCCACTAAATGCTTTTCCAGAAAATTGACAATGTTCTCAAGCAATGCCTCAATCGGCGACTACCCGCAACAAAACCATTTTCTCCCGCAAAAAAACATTGCAAAAAAACTTTAAGAAACTGATTATATCTCATAAAATTTTTTAATTTCCTTTTTAAAAATTCAAACTTGTTACTTTGAACATGAAATAATTAATAAACAAGTTGCCAGAAAGCTACGTTCAGAGCATCATTTTGCAGGCAATGCGATTCAAAGCCATCCCATGCGAATTAGGATTGCAGGTTCGGCTTTTTAGGATAATTTTGTCATAAACAGAGCTTCATATCGATTGATGATTTCCAAAAAAGGATTGCCACTGTACACCAAATAATATGTGTTTTTTTGTACAAATGACCCATCGATATCACAATATAAAATAATTGTAAAGAGCGATTAGCACACGGTGTTTTGCTTGAGTTTATCAACTAATAAAGGTCTAAACGTTGTTCCACCCTCAGATTAAACAAATGTTTTTATTTAAATTTTTCTATAGGAGCTAAGTACAATAGTTAATTTTATTATTTTATTCAAAATTGGGTTTTTGCCATCGTACAGAGTGCTTAAAATTTTTGCATTAACGTGACAAGCTTGTCGGTTCCTGGCGCATTCAAACAAAATTCGTTTCACACACTATTTTACGGTGCCTTAACTAGTATGCATCAAATTACAAAATTATCAAATTATATCAGATGCCAAGGTGCGTCAGTCAGGTACCAATATCTTGCTAGGGAAGATCTTACGAATTTTCATAGGAGCTCACCATCTTTTTTTTGACACCCTGTATAAGCATATAATTTATATGTAAGTCACCTCGTTTTGCTATTATTTTCAACAATTTTTTGTTTTTTTACTGCAAATTCTAAAGTCTAAAACAGGCCTGATTATTTGATTAGGACATTACAATTTTCTGATTACTTATTTTGTGTTTTATGTTGTCGAGGTCAGTTAAAGAGGCCGCCTTTTGGTAAATGGTAGCCTAAAATGCCGGTTTACTTAATGTAAAAGTAGACATAAATAGGAGGATAAGACTAGAATTCAACAACCTAGCCATTGTATAGATTTAGAAAACTCGTTGACTTCGAATGCTTCTAAATAGAGCTAATTAGCAAGAAATGCATACTACTTTTCTACAACGGCGTTAATGTAGGGTGGCAGATCTAAAATAGAATATATGCCAATATGATTTTTGTTGATCAATTATGAGCAGTTTGAACTTTCAGGTTGTTGGAGTTAATTGATACCTCATATTTGATCATATACATTTGAAGATATTTATAATCTATGCGGGCTTAGTAACGTAGTAACAGGCATTGAAACTGGACTACATATGAAACGAATGAATTCCTAATTATTGTAAACAAACTGAATAGCTGTTTTAGGTCTATTTAGGCTAAAAAAAATTACATAACACCTTATATGTTATAGAACAATTTTCTGATACCTGGTGTGAAGTAGGGCTGCTCCATTTTTCAGGAACAACCGGCTCGGCAGGTGATTAATAGTTGACCTAAAAACAGCTTGCATTTTTTATTGCTTCATAAATTAATGGAAAATGTATTTTAACAAAATGTATGTTATGATCTTGCTGCAGCGTTGTCAAGTGGGTGTAGAATCGTGTCGAAATGATTGACAGATGTTCATTTTGATGGTATTAGTAAAAATATAGAATATTAAATTAAATTGTCAAAAAGATGCAAACATGAGTTTTTAAGTTTTATTCTGGCTTTCTTGGTCTGGTACCCTTGACGCCTCTTTTATTTATTCGTCATTTTTGGCTAATGTTTTCGGCTCTACTATAATGTTCTGTTGAAGTTAGTTGTAGTTAGGATGTGAATATAGAGAGACGAAGAGACTCAATGCAAACCTACAATATAACCAATTTGATTATTTATTATTTTTGTTGTGTTTTGGCGCAATTTTCACGTAAATACACTATGTGGTCAGTTTCGTAAAGTGTAAACTACATAATATATCCTAGAATTTGGATATTTGGAGAAGGTAAAGGATATAGCAGGTAGTTATATTTACATATATTATACAATTACATACTTATACAAATATCAGTCAAATTATAATGCTGCTTATGATGATGGTTTTTCTCTTAGTCAATGGCATAAAATGTAGTACAGTTTATACGCCAAGACTAAGGAATCACGCATACACTTAAGGCATAAGATAGTCTCCAAATTTTTTACCTTAGGCCTTATTCTTCAGATGCTAGATTGATGACACAGGCATAGTGGTCTTCGTTGTTTGTTGCTAACAATTCAAAAGCAAGCGACCGCAAAAGACCTGGTAATTTCTTTTGATAATACGGGTGTCCCGTAAGCTCATGATCAAAACGGTACTGCGATATTCTTTGGACCAAAAGAAGACGATCTGACCTAACTTTTATTAACAAAAAATGTCTGGCTCCTCTGCTATTGATCGTCAAAGTTCTTCAAAAAAATTTATCTTTTTCGAAATATCGGGAGAATGGTACGATGTATTTTAGTGAAACTCGCTGTCAATTTGTTCTTATGTAAGACTCATATTTTGATGAAACAATCGAGTTCAGCCGTTTTGGACAAGTGGTGAATTCTTGAGTGTCGTGGTACAAAACTTACCAGAACTTTTTAGTTGGACGATAAAATCAACTCATTTTTTTAGGTTGATGCACTATTTTGATATGATGATTTTGATGAAATTTTTTTTTTCGCAAAACTATGAATGCTACAAGATTTTACAAACAGCACAAAATTGTGAATACATGATTAGTGCATCAACCTAAAAAAAAATGAATTGATTTCATTCTCCAATTAAAAAGTGCTGGTAGTTTTTGTACCACGACACTCAAGAATTCACCACTTGTCTAAAACGGCTGAACTCGATGGATTCATCAAAATATAAGTCCTACATAAGAACAAATTCCCAGCAAGTTTCACGAAAATACATCGTACCATTCTCCCGATATTTCAAAAAAGATAAATTTTTTGAAGAATTTTGACCATCAATAGCAGAGGAGCGAGACATTTTTTTGTTAATAAAAGTTAGGTCAGATCGTCTTCTTTTGGTCCAACGAATATCGCAGTACCTTTTTGATCATGAGTTTACAGGACACCCTGTATATTTAATTTACATAAAGCTGCAAATAGGACCTCTAATGTTATTTTACGGTTCAATGGTCTAGCTTTATATCTTACAAGTATTTCGAAGTCGTTTTTGTATCAATATCAATTTTAAGCGCACACGCAGAAGCACTATTAATTAGCTGGAAACTGATCACTAGATAAAACATTATATGAGCATCTCTTGTACTATGCAGTATTCCATTTTATTATCGCATCACACGCCTTATTTCTTATTATTGGTCTCTTACCAGCATAAGTTTTATATTAAACAATTTATAATATAAAGTAACTAAGAAACTTTCAGCTCTTTTGTTGGTTCTGACAATTTATGTTCCTGAAAATAATAATGAATATTATCTTACCGCTGTGTGATAGCAATTCTAAAAGCTAAGACATTTGGCAAGAAACACAGCTCAATTGAGTATTCATTTGCAAAATCATTAAAAAGGTATTGACTGTTCCTGCCGCCAGCGCCCAATTGTCTAGAAGTCCTTCAACCCCTCTCGCGTTCGAAGGTATAAATGTGCGTGTAAAAATAATTTCTTAGTAGTATTTCCTGGAAAGGCGTGTTTTTCGCCGCTTTTGAGTACTTTTCCAAAAGAAAACCAAAGACGCCATGATGTTCACGTTGTCTAACAAACTGTTTTTTTTTTCTTACACCTATTGTACGCATTTGCGTTTTAAGTAGTTAGTTCCGAATCATTTTTTAATTTTTGTTTTTTTGGATAACCGTTTTTGTTTTATTATCATTTTAAGTCGCTATCTCCCACAAAAGGGGAATTCGCCGACAAATATTTGGCCCTTTAAGCCTATAAAATTGTTTTTCGCTCTTGCAGTTTAAGCGTGGTGAGAGGTGTTTCAAAGTGAACTAAGATCGCGTGGATGGTTTTCTTTTGGGAAAATTGCCAACTTAATTTAGCAAAAATGATTCGAAAACCGCATTTTTTCCAAAAACAGCTTGGGCCTAAATGTGTTGCAGGATACCCTCTAGGTCAGCCGTGAGCAACCTTTTTAATCAACGGGCCAATTTAAATTTAATTTTTTTTGGCGGGCCGCGTATAGAGTACTCATTAATAATTTACAAAACTGTATATCGTTGTTCATGTTTTGTACCGTAATGCTTTTTTATGCTATATTTTTTTAATGTCGACATAGTGTCTGAGCGAGCATATTAAGCATACAGCTTTATCTTTGACGAAAGTCAAAAAATAATCAAATTTCCGCTTTTCTTGAAAATGCTCATCCGCAACCTTCCGTTTTTTGGTTTGCTTTTCTGACATGCTATTATGAAGTAAATAAGTGCATTTGTACAAATAATAACATTTGAAAGTTTTAAGAAATTTTGGTTTGTATTGCATGTTTGAACAAGTCGCCCACAAGTGAGTAACTCGTCAAAAATTCTATCGGTCAGTATGTACTTCTATTTTATTATAATTAATTTTATAACAATATATTGATAGGAGAAAGTTGACATCATAAATTCAATTTTTTGAATAGCTTGGCGGGCCGCATAGACACGTTTAACGGGCTGCGTGTTGCTCATCCCTGCTCTAGGTGATAGTTCTTGATTACCTTTTGATGAAGAATTCGTTCTTATTGCGAGATAAAAGCACTGTTTATCAATTTCTAATAAAAGACGTGAGGAAATTCTGTATTTTTTAAGGACAAAAATTTTTGAGTCGGAATACCCAACAAACCGTTTGTGAAAATTGAGATGTCGTGTAGATGCGCCGAACTAATTATTAAGTCAAGAAAATAAGCAAGAAAAAGGGTTGCATATGCTATGGAGTTTTTGATGAAAGATCACAATTTTTGGAACACTGTGATTTTTAGGGACGAAAAAGTATTGCAGTCCTCATATAATGGCAAAGTTCCAATATGCCAGCCTCCAAATTCAAGATTTAGTCAAATATATCCACATCAGACCAGCGGTAGGTTTTCTGTAAACTTGTGGGCTTAAGTCGTGGACCAGGAGTTTGTTGGAATATTGACGGCAGGTTGAACAGCGAATCTTATAAAGTAATATTAGAAATCGTTTTCCTTCCATCAGAAAACCTATTTTTTGGATATAACAATATTTTTTTTTGGATGTATCAATAATTTTTTTTGGATATAACAGTGTGTGGGTATACCTAACTAAGAACATCTATAGAGAAGATTTTAGGCTACCAAACCGCCGTGAATTAGGGAAAAATTTAAGACTCCTGAGAGTCTAACTAACACCAGAATATACAAGCATCTTAATTCGTTTTACGCCCACACATTTGAATTTCGTTTTAGATGCTTATGGGACAGAAATGTAATATTAGTTGATCAGTTTCTGAAGAACTTTGGGAAATACCTATTGTATATTTTGAGTCATCGACTGTACGTCATTTGTAATGACCACAGATCACAGAGGATACTCTGTGATCTGTGGTCATTACAAATTACAGCTTATAAAATCTTAAACGACAAAATACTCAAAATGACATTTAGTTAATTTCAATAAACGCCATTTTTAATATTTGAAGTTTATATGTAAAGAAATATTTAAAAATTAATCATTTTCAAAATGAACACAAGAAAAGCATATAAAAACAAACGTCGTCTTGTTAAAAGTAATTCCAAAGCCGGAAAATTGGGGCAAGATATAAGAATTACGGAGAGCAAATCAAATATTGGATCGAAAAGAGTAACTGTAAGTTCATTCGTACATATATAATAGTGAATAATAAGTGTTCTAATGTCTACTTGCTTCAAATATTGAAAAAATACTTGTTTAGCTTAACTTAACCACTTAATAATGAAATTTATTTAAATAAACTTATATTTTATATGCTAAACAAATGGGCATTAAAACTCAGACTGGTTACTGGGTGCTCCTATCATAAACTATTGCCACAAATGGAATTAGTTGAACCTGTTTTAAATTTAATTCTATAACGCATTCATTTCGCCTTTTATCGCTTTTATTTGTAGTTACTTCCCGGATTTTTGATTAATGGATTCACTTCTGATACTGCAAGAAAAGGTAAATGTATATTTGAGTAGATTACTGTGTCTTCGGTCTGGTTAACGTACTATTTACTTCTATATGCATTTTAATGCAAAAAATAGTGTTTTTTCTCTATTATCTTTGCACTAATAAAATATACATGTATAGGTCGAAAATTGTTCTGGCTTACTTTCTATAAAAACTTTAAACAATTAAGAACTTTATGTTACCGACTATGGCGTCAAAGATTGTGACTATACAACAAAGTATTTTGTTGAATATTTAACACAAATCTAAATTAATCAGATTTGGGTACCCGTGCGTTATTATCTATAAGGTGTTTAAAAGCGGCAATCTTTAAAACAATAATTTCTCAGATCATTTTACCAAAGAAAGTGCCTGGTTTGCTACGTATCTATAGGTTTGCAACGTATCTGATACGTAATATTAATCGTAAATGATTTAATAATTTAATAATAATGATGTTGTAGTACATGTTGTTTTGCCTAATATTAACAGAATTATTGTTTTGTTACGCCCGTATGCA